GGATAAGAATTGAAATATACTTGAATTTTATATATAGTTTAAGGACTGTATGGAAGGTTAAACCTTTTACTCAAGCAAGGGGTCTGTCATAATATAATACATACTTTTATTGAGCCCATGTGTCTAGCAGTTCTAACCGTGAAAGAAGATGCCCTTTTAACTCCTTTATCGGGCTGAGGTTCACGGCTGGCTAGACGGAGCCACTAAGGCAAAGCCAATAAGAGTAGTGTTATATCAGACTGTACCAACCATCTTGACACCAAGTCAAAACTCTANAGTCAAAATACTATATTTAAAACTCATTTATATTTTAATAGATGACGTCGCTTTCATGGTTTATATAGGAGAGAAGTTAGATATTCAACATAGATATGAAGTCTCTTAGCCGGACATCGTCACGGCCAGAGAGGAGAGACTAGAAGAAAAACTAACTAAGAAAGAAATATGTACCTTGTGGCCAAGATGCAAGGCCCTGAAGATGAAGAACTGAAAACTTTATTTACTTTGTTCTTCTGTTACAAACTTCAAACTAAACTTCAAACTTTAATTATACTTGAAGAGAGAGAGAGAGAGAAAATTCTAGAGAGAGAGGGTCTCGATTCCTTCATCTTCTTCTGTCAGGAAGGAGATAAAGAAGAAATGATTAACAACTACTTGGAAGAAGTCAAAAGAAATTTACTTTGTTCCATTAATCAGTATGAAAAATCAGATACTTCAATGCAAAGTGAAATCAGCAACGATGATATCGCTGAAGATTCTCAGCCCATTGAAGCAGAAAGGATGTTATCTGAAGAAGACTTAAAAGATGCGGAAGAATTCCTCCGCAAAATGAAAGAATTAGACAAACGACCAGCACAGTGAAACAGCTGGACCCTACAAGTACAGTGAAGCCGCCGGACCGACAGCACAGTGAAGCCGTCGGACCCCACTCAAACAGTAGATACACTGTTCATCAACAGTCGATACACTGTTCATCAACAGTAGAAATACTATTTTGTATAGTAAAAATACTGTAACATGGACCCACGGGACCCACTTTTACTGTTCATAGACTCTTTCTTTTTCTATTTATACGTTTCATTCGTTCAGAAGAGCTGTCATCAATCACCTCTTTCTGATGACAGAAGAGCTGTCATCATGTCTCGATTCCTAAAAGGAGATCTTTCTGGCGATATGACGTACTGAGCTGTCATCAATCACCTCTTTCTGAGGTTTGCTGGAATATTCTTGGATTTCCATTTTGATGGAATCCAAGAGTTCTTGACCATATAATGTCTTTGTTTTGGGATCCTTTTTCATTAGTTTATCCCAAAAGTTATTATAAAAGGTCCTGTATAAGCATGGGACTTGTTCTTCGGTGAATCCGACTTCTGGAGTCCATTTATGACTCCAGGGAATAGAGAATTCCAGAAAGAAATAAATTTGGTCAATTTTTTCTGAGTAACAGATATGATCTGTGTGATATAAATTGTTTATAAAAGGAGAAATTTTTATCCATTCTTTGTATAACATGAGAAATGGATGAGGTAAAATTTTTGCTGTCGGACCGTGGTATGACCACCAGTTTAGAAACCAATTAGGAATAGCCTCTGCAAATATCTTTGCACATACTTTAATAAACCAAGTATGTTTGTGTCGATCATTATTGTAGTATAACACTTTATCAAACGCCTGGATATAATCCCAATAGGTAAAATTCATTCGAGATTTGTTAAGGCTTATCTGCCTCTCTTTCATTGTGGATATACCCCAGTCTTCAACAGATATAATCTGTTTAATTATAATCTTCGAGAAGTTATAAACGTTCTCATTTGTGCTATAACCAGAAAAGTGTTGAAACTCTGCACTGCCAGTACTGGTGAGTATTGTTTCATAATAAGAACGGGTTTTGTATGACTCACCCGGATAATATAATCCATTTATCAAATACCTTTGGAATATCTTCCACGGTTCTTCTTTTCTCTGAATATCAGAATTTTCTAAAAGAAATATCATTTCTTTTTTAGATACTTTCTCATATGACTTGATATCATCATTGTCATCTTTTGTAATGGAAGCAAAAGTATCACTTTGCTTAGCAGAAGTATCTTTCTGTTTTTGAGCAGTCAAATATGCCTGCAAATGTGCGTATAACGGACTATCTTCTGGAATATCTTCCAGATGGACGGATGGTCCGATCGATGATTCTTCTCTGATAGATATCCTCTCATTGGTTAAACTCTTTCTTCCTATTTGTATAACTGGGGAGTTTGATGTGGATCCGTATGACGATCCTGAAGGTGATAATCTTTCTCTGGACTGTGGGGATGATCTTCCCCAACCTCTACCTCTTCCCCTACCCAGGGGGGTTCCATCCTGTAAATATTCACGAGATAAGAAATCTGGCAGAGAATTATCAATTCCCTTTTTATATTGTATTTCAAAATCAAAAGGGGCTAATTGAGCCTGCCATCTTGCAAATATCATTTTCGAGGCATCATGTTTAAAGTCTTTGTTAAACATATATTTAACAGATTGTGCGTCAGTTTTTATCAAAAACTTTTGATTGTATAAATCGTCTTGAAATTTTAAAACACATTTTACTATGGTTAACATTTTGTGTGCCACAGTAGCGTATTTTCTCTGGGCTTCACACTATTTACCAGAGTAGAATCTAATCAGATATTCATGCTTATTATTGGGATTTATCTGTTTCAAAATCCCTCCGTAACCAATATTAGATGCATCAGTCTCTATAATCTTTTGCCATGCAGGATTAGCAAGGGTCAAGCAAGGTAAAGATTTAACACGTTGCTTAATATTTTTAACCAAAGCAGTATAACTATCAGTCCAAGGGTTTTTAATATCCTTTTTTAGCCTATCATATAAGGGGGCTAAATCACGCGACAAATCTTTATAAAAAGGCGATATATAATTTAAACTTCCCAAAAATCTTTGTAACTGAGTTCTATCAGTAATAACATCGGGAAATTTTGAAGCAAAATCAATCGATCTTTGAATAGGAGTAATCTTTCCCTGACAAATATAATGTCCTAAAAATCGAATGTTAGTTTGGAATAAACTCATTTTTTATTTTGAGATAACCAAACCATTTTGTATAACAATTCTTTTAAAAATATCTAAATGCTTAATATGCATTTTAAGTGTCTTGGAAAATACCAAAATGTCATCGATATAAACAATGATAAAGTCTAGATAGGGGTTGAAAATATCATTCATAATTTTTTGGAATTCAGAAGGGGCATTCTTCAAACCAAAAGGCATAACATTCCATTCATATTGCCCAAATGGAACATTAAAAGCAGTTCTATAAGTATGTTCTTTAAATATTTGAATCTGCCAATATCCAGATTTTAAATCAAATTTTGAAAATATATTGGCATCATATAATCTTGACAATAAATCTCTTTTATTGGAAATAAGATACCTAACTCACTTCAAATATTTATTCAATGGTTTATAATTAATGACCAATCTAGGAATACCACGTTCCTTTTCAGCTGCGTTATTAACGTAAAAAGCTGTGCAAGATCAAGGAGATTTTGAGGGTTTTATCAAACCCTTGTGTAACAAATTATCAATCTCTTTTTTGCAGAATTCCACTAATTTCGCGTTCATCTGACATGGTCGAGATTTAGTAGGAATATCATCCTCAGAG